CCGTGCCGCTCGGCACCCTAGGGTCCGCTCTGGGCCTGGTCACGGCGTGGGCTACCTCCTGCTCGCGCTGGTGCTGTTCACGCTCAAGGACGCGGCCAAGCGGGGCCGCCTGGGAGCCTCCACCTTCCGGGAGCTCAACATAGGTGGGTGGGTTGGGTGGTTCCGTGGTGGTTGTTGGAGCGAGGGGGCGGGGTGCGGTGCGGCTGGCCCCGCCGTGGCCTGGCAAGCAGTCTGGCTGGGGCTTCCTCGCCTGCCGCTGGCCCGCCTGCCACCGCTGCCTGCGGCCACGTGGCACGGCTGCTGACCCCCACCCTCATGCTGTGCAGGCGTGGCTGTTGTGGGCATCACTGGGGCGCTCAACCTGGCGGCGGGCATGCAGGCAAGCTTGGGGGCTTCGGTCCGGTACAAAGCGCGTGCGTGTGTTTGAAGATCTTCGATACGTGCCTGGCTGGCGCTGATGGGATGGGCCGCCCCCTCCATAATGCATGCGTGGCTGCGTGCTCGCTGTTGTGTGGGTCGCAGACTGCCCGACTCAGCTTGCCTCGTCGCTGTTCGGTCGTTCACAGCCTGCCACGCTGCGCCCTGCCCGCCGCCTGCAGGCGGGCTACATTGTGCAGGGCAAGCTCGCGGCGTCCAAGGTGGCGGTCGTGGGCGCCACGGCGGGGCTGGCCCTCTACAACTACTTCTGCGCCAAGAAGTGAAGCTATATGGTTCGGTAAAGCAAAGACTTTCGGTGCTGGATAAGCCTGAAACACAGGTGGCGGTGCAAGTCGCATACGTCGGCGGGCTGCAGATGGGGATTCCTGCAGCCGCCGACGCTCGCTTGACGCTCCTCTCCTGGCCAAGCAGCGTGCCGTTGCTGCTGTCTTCTTTCTGGTCATCTGTAAATGCGGCACTGTTCCCCTTGTAATTCGGAATAGACCTGGGTTATCTGTGTTCTCTCCGGGGTGAGTGGATGCTGTCTGCTGGAATTTCAGGCTCGGCGGTCTCGCCTGACGTGGCGGCGCTTCGCTGCGCTGTGACCAAAGCACAACACGGTTTCTTCCGCAAGCCATACCTCCCTCCCCCACGAGCTAGCCGCATCCATTTTACTCTCCGCAACTCTGCCCTCTGCACGCCGGCAAGAAGAAGAAGGTGCCCTCGCTGCCTGCCATCGCAACCGAACTCTGACTCTCGCCAACATGCAGTTCGTCAAGTCGCCCGACTTCACCCGCTCCGAATCGGAGCACAATGGTGCGCAGTGGTGCCAAATGGAGGCAGCAGCGAGCCGCACCCCGTCCTCGTGTGGCGCCATCTGGCTGCCACGCCAACATGCATGGCCGTATGGGGCGCCGCCCACCCTCCTCTTCCCTTGCCCCCTGCCGCAGGCTCTGTGCGCCGCCTCACCGCGCCAGGCTACACCCCCCTCAACTCCTTCTCCGACCGCAAGCCGTCGCCGCTGAGCCGCTTCCACTCGGCCGCCGAACCGCCGCTGTCCTTCACCATCCAAGCCTCATCCTCCGCCTGCAGCACCCCCAGCCACACCACGCCCGCAGACGCCGCGGCCACAGAGTCGCGCCTGGTGCCGCCGCTCGCCGACTCCCCGGCACACGCCTTCCTCCTGCCCGCCGCCCCCGCCGCGCTGCCGCCGGTGCGCACCTCCCTGCGGCCCTCCCCGTTGGGCCCAGAGAGCGGCGCCCCCGCCTCGGCCCCGGACAGCCTGGCCTCCAGCACCACTGACACGTGCCTGGAACTGGCCCCAAGCTGCACCCTGGACCTCGAGCTCTCGCCAGAAGAGGTCCGCTGGGCCCCGCATGGGCCAGCACCTGGCCTGCCTGCACCAGTGCCTGCTTCAGTGCCCTGCCTGCCCTGCCTGCCTGCCTGACTGCCACCACTGTGCTGCTCCCCTGCGTGCAGGCGCGGTGGCTGGTGCAGCCCCCAGCCCCGCTGCTGATGCAGCCCCCTCACCTGCAACAGGCGGCGGCGGCGGCACCGGCTGAGCCCCAGGCTGAGCAGCCTGTGGTGCCGACCCGCTTCGGGCGCCTGCGGGCCAGGCTGGCGGCAGCTGGCGCCAGCCTGCGCGCCCGGCTCAGCAGGGCGGCGTGCCTCTCCTGCCCTGCGGTGGCCGAGTAGGGCAGAGACCTCGGCACACCGCCCCTGTTTGTTTGATCCCCCTCTCATGCCCTGCCCTGTGTCCCTTCCCCTGTGTCCCTTCCCCTCCCTTAGCTAAGTTCGGCGCGCCTTGTTTGACCCTCGCCCCACCCACCCACTCCTGCTGCTGCCGGCAGTCGGCTCCTGATAGGCCTTAGCATGTTACAGCTAGGGCATGCGCTTGTGCTCCCCAGATTCTGCAAAGAAACATAATCAGAGGGTGTTCTTGAAAGTGACGGGAGGGCCCCACGGTTGCCGCTGGCGCACGCTGCCTGCCTGCTGGGGCAGGCGGCAGCGCAGGGGGCGGGGCTGCAGTGCTGCTGGGGGAATGCCAGTGAAAGGGAGGCAATGCTGGTACAAATATGTTGTGCAAAGGGAAGGAGAGAAGGGCAGGGCAGGGTTGGTGGGTTCAGGTTCATTGCGTGTCACGCGAAAGAGAGAAGAAGCGCGGATCAGGCGGCGCATTGGGTTGCCGCACTGCTGATGCTGCTGCTACGCTTCCAACCGGTGGCGGGTGGTCGCGTTGGGCTGCCAGCAGGGCACACTGCCCAGCCCTGCTGCTGCTCGCAGTGGTCGCGGGGGTGGGTCGGGGCGAGGCGCTGCCACCAATCGGCGGCGCGTGGCGGTGAGTGTGGTGCTACAAACTGCTACAGAAGGGCGGGCAAGGGGGCGAGTGCCCGCCTGCCTCGCCTTGTCTTGCCGTGTCTTGCGCGGAGAATGTCCGCCTGCCTACTGCTGACCGCTGGCCCCATCCAGCTGCTGCTCCTGCTGCTCCTACTGCTGCTGATGCTGCTGATGCTGCTGCCCGGGCGGCAGCGGCTCTGCCGGCGCCGGCGGCCCCTCCTCCTGCCCCTGCTGCGCCTGCTGCTGCGCCTGCTGCGCCTGCATGTGCTGCATCTGCATCCAGTGCATCTGCTGCATGTGCTGCATCTGCAGGAAGGCCATCTGAGTGGCGGCGTGCATCTGTGCCATCATCGCCTGCTGAGCCTGCTGGGCCTGCTGAGCCTGCTGAGGGTCCAGCGGAACGCCACCCAGCGGCATGCCCGGCATGGCAGCGGCGCCGGGGAAGACGGGGACCCCCGCCATGCCAGCCGCCGCCATGCCAGCCGCCGCCATGCCGGCCGGCGCCATGCCAGCCGGCGCCATGCCGGCCGGTGCCATGGCGGCAGCCCCGGCGGGCAGCGCCATGCCTGCGCCGGGCAGCGCCATGCCAGGAGGCATAGGCATCATCAGTGGGGTCATCATCATGCCGCCTGGAGCTGCCATCATCATGCCACCCGGCCCCGCCATCAGCATGCCAGCTGCTGCCGTCGGCGTGACCACGCCGCCCGCGCCGCTGCCGGCGCCGCCGCCCGCGCCACGCTGCCGCTTGGCGACGGAGCTCCCGCCATGCTGCTGGCTGGCCACTCGCTCGCCCTGCTCGTCGTCATAATGGTTGCTAGAAGCCTCCGCCTCTGCCTCTCCCAACGACTCTGGCAGGGTGCCGCTGGACAGGCCGGGGCCCAGCCGCTTGCGCCGCCCCGGCTTGCTGCCGCTGCCGCCGCCGCCGCCCTCCAGCCGCTCCAGCAGCTGCTCGGCGTCGGCATTCTCCTGGGCTTTAGTGGAGGGCCGGCGCTGCCGCCGCCGACCTCCCTCGGTTGCATCGCCCACACTGCCAGACACGTCGGGCCGGTCATCCGCTGCTGCGCCAGAGGCATCCTCCTGCCAGCCGCGAGGCCAGCCCGGCAGCGCTGCCGCTGCCGCGGCCGCAGCCGCCGAGCGCTGGTGCTGCGGCTTGCGCTTGATGGCGCCACGCAGCGGCGCCGGCTGCCCTGGGCGCGGCTCGCTGCCGCCGGCCGCCGCTGCTGCGGCGGGAGCGGCCTGCGGCTGGATGGCGTCGGCCGCGGGATGCAGCTCGGGCGGCCGCGGTGGGGCGGCTGGGGGCCGCCGCAACCGGCAACGGAGCGTCTGCCGCAGCGCCGCTCGCCAGCTGCAATGGATACAGTTGTGGGAAGGCAGTCAGTCAGTCAGGCAGGCAGGCAGGCAGGCGGGATGGGCCTAGGCGCGGCGCCAGAACAGCGCAACAGCCGACCTGCAAACCACCACCACCACCACCACCCCTCTCTCTCTCTCTCTCTCTCTCTCACACACACACACACACACACACACACACGCCCCGCCCCCCCGCTCACCACATAAGAGTAAGGGTCCTTGCGCCCGCCCAGCCCCGACCGCACGATGCGGCTCTCCGCCACCAGGAAGCGAAGCGCCTTGGAGGTGTCGGGGTTGTTGCCAAACGACTGCCTGCGCTCGGGGTTGGCGGCAGGGAGGCGCGGGGCGTGTTTGCAAGCACGCGCTTGGGTTGGGTGGATAGGGGGGCAGGCCGGGCAGGAGGGAGGGGGCGTGTCAACAACAGGGGAGAGGGGGAGGGAAGGGGAGTGGCGGCCAGAGCAGGGGGAGAGCGGGGGCCAGATAGGGGAGCAGTGGGAGTGGGAGCGGGTGTGAGCGGAGGCATGAGCGGAGCCGGCTGGGCAACGGCCGACCCACCACCCTTCCAGCGCTGGAGCCAGCCACCGCCGCGCAGCGGGCCCGCCGCCGCACCTGAGCATGCGCTCCGGCACGCCGCTGCCTGTTGACTGCAGGTAGAAGGCCTGGTGCTTGCGGATGTACTCCACTATGGACACAGTGGCCTGGCCCACGCGGGAGTA